ACAAAATTGCAGTTGAAGCAAGCAAGAAATTGAAGGTTGATTTTCAAATCATAAGTGTATCTGAGGTGAGATTCATAATCAATGTCAAAGTTTCTTCAAAACATCATGTGATCGAAAAGAATATTTTATCTAATCAAATAATCGATGATAATATACAAATAAATAAAAATTTCTATTATTTTTGAATCGTAAACTGTATCCTATCATTCTTTTCGGGGTTGTAGATTTCTTTTACGATGCCAACTTTTTCTTAAAGTAACACAACGAACAATCTGATAACAGTTCATCTCCCAAACAGTTGCGTAAATCAATTTTGATAATATTAATTTCAGAAAAACTTCTTTCAGGTGAAATTTTCCCAACAAATAATAGCAATGTCAACTTTATAAGTCGATATACCAAAGGAAAATCAGTGTGATTGATAATTATCTCAACCATCTTTTTTGCAAGAGTTCCAAAATTGAAAATAATAGCAAATACTTCGTACTTCATTAGATCTCATGTCAGAAATGTAATTATAGAGTTCATGAATAAGCTCAATTCGATCGATGGAACTGAAATCTTGTTAATAGATTACACTTACCATAAAGAGTGTTAAAATCAAATTTGGAATATCTTTTTTGTATGGATGCAGTATATATATATATATATATATATATATATATATATATATATATATACATACATACATACATACATGATTAAAGTAAATAATTAAAGAATAGGGGACGTGAAATTTATTTAAAAGTGAGAAATATTTTATTGCGTGATATATGGCGATAATTAATTTATTTTTTGTTGGAAATTAAAAAAATGCAGGGTGGCGATATAGTGCTGATGCAGAATGCAGATGCATTCCATGCTGCGGTAGTATATGCTTGTCGCAGTTTTCTTAATCTGGGCCAAGATTATTCACTCCCACCAGGATTGGATTTGGTTACTCCTAAATAATACGGAGTAATAATTATGTAACTACAATTACGTAGCTGTTTTCTTGTTAAATTAAACTACTACACGTATTTGTTGTTGGGAAATTGGGTAATTTTCCACCAAAACAAAACAAAATAACAACAAGTGAATAGGTTACATTGCTTTACAACAACAACAACAACAATAACAATAACAATGACAACAACAACAACAACAACAACAACAATAATAATAATAATAATAATATACTTCCTTCATCTTATAAAACTTTTCATAAACAAAAAAATGTATTAAAAAGTGGAATAATTTTAATATTGTATTCTAATTATGACTAATTATAACTGGATTGGGCAATAAGACACTTGGGTTAAACCGTATTAAAAGATTGAATCCAATCGATTAGTTAGTTCAACTCTAGAGATTATATACCAATTATTTTACTTTTGGATTTCCGATGTGGGATGTAATCTAACACATACGCATCATATTCAATTCTATCTAATTAATCATAGAGAAAGAGCAAAATTAGAAAATAATATCAAAATTATATATTTTTAAGGTGCGTATTTTTTCATCCTTGAAAAGTTTTATGAGACAAAAAAGTATTAATTATGATACTAAGCTACTCCATCCGTCCACAAATAAACTTTACATTGCGCGTTATGATGTTTGACTGAAGTTATTTTCAAATCATTTTATATGAAAAATGGTGTAGAATTGAAAAAATAAAAATTACATATTAAAAAACTATATCAAAAGATCTACAAAAATAGAGGTGACATGACTATATTATTTTATCAAATGGGTGAAGAAAATAGGTCAACAAAGTGAATAAAGTTTGACCCTGTGAATAGTGAACGTAAAATTTATTTGTGAAGAGAGGGAGTATTTATTAGCATTATAGGATAGCAAGCTTCTATTATTGAGTTGATTCCTACTGTCCTATTCATGCTATGATTGTTTTTTATATACTCCTCCTTCCTATTTTTTATATACTCCCCCGTCTTTAATTTGATTACAATATTTCCTCTCATTTTTATCTAAAAAAGAATTACAAAGTTCTAATTTTAACATCATTTGGATCATTTTACCATCCCTTCCATCACCTTATGTAATGATTTGATTCCTCCTTAATTGGGGTTGATTTGAAGAAAAATTTAATGATTTGACTTCTCCTTAATTTTCTCAAAAATAAAATATTGTAATATAAAAGAAGACAGAGAATGTGTGTGTCTATATGTATATATATATATATATATATATATATATAGCTAGATAATTTCATTTTGTAAGTTGTTACAGAAAGTTATAAAAATAACATGACTAAAAGAACAATATTTTTTAAAACAAAAGAAGAAGAAAAAAATATGACTTTCATAGTTTTTCTTCAAAATAGAGCCTATATTAATCATTTAAACCTAAATAAAATTTATTTACAAATTAAAAAACAAAAAAATTACAATTCCTAAAATTATTTACGGAGTACAAACATTCATTTATGATCAACTATCTTAATAAATCGGTAAAAATGACTAACTCAATAAGTTATTCAAATCCACTAATAATATAAACATCTAGTCTTTTTGGTGAGCATAGAAGATACGAGTTCGAACATTGGAAGATATTAGAACTATTTTATTGACATTTGGTACACTGCTATAATACTTTTATTTTGGTCTTAAAAGATTTAGGATTCCTACTTTTGCATTTTTATACTCCGTACTTTTTTAATTTTATCCAGAGACATTTCTTTAAAAAAAGGTAAGCCTAAAACAACTTTTCTAAAAACGGGAGAGGAAGATTAGATTGTGACAATCCAAAAAAATAAAGAAGATTAATTTGAGACAGAGGGAGTACTTATTTTGGAAATTTATCTATTTTAGTACATTACAAAATATATGTATACTTATTTGAAAATTACATAATACAAAATACTCATTACGCTTCTATAGAATATACATTTACGAGTAACATAATATTCATTTTCAACTAAAATAAAGATACACATACAATTAAAATAAAGAATGAAAAATGAGTGTTAAAATGAGTGTTAAAGATACCATAATTTGTGTGCAAGTACAGAACTACCCATCCATGGGAACACATAAAGCCTTCTGATAGGGCTCATCTTTTTTTAAAGAAAATTATCCCAAATAATCTTACCCTTTTGCGCTCTTCCAAAAATAATCTCATTTTTCATTGTCTCGGAAAATTGTATCACCTATACTCATGTGTGTGAGTTTTGGGTCGCCGTTAGGATGTTAACGGTTACTTAATAGAATTTTTAGAAAATGCTTGTTTTTTACAAATAAATGAAAGGTGAGATTATTTTAGGTAAATTTTCTTTTTTTTTTTTCCAATTTTTTTTAATTTCTAACTTTAAATTTAAATGTATTTTTTAATTTTTTTTTATAAATAATACTAAATTCAAGTGTTTTTTAGAGTGAAACTAATTATTTTTTTCAATAATCGATAATCTGCTAATAATTGTTTTTTACAAAATAATATTTCAAAAGTTGGGTAATTACAAATTAAATTATTCTACACAATAGAACTAATTAATTTACTTATTTCACAACTCACTACATTTTTTTGTAAGTTGCAATTATTTTCTTGAGCGGCATTTCGAATGATTTTTTGATACTATATTATTATTATTTTTAAAAAATGGCACCACAAAACTTGTGAATATTTTTCGATAATTCTGCAAAAAATTTTTTTTACATCACAACAGTTGTGAAAATAACACAATAATTTTCTCACAGAAATGGAACTTTTATGTTTATAACTCACTACATTTTTGTTGTGTTGCAATTTTTTTTGAAAAACATTCCGAAATATTTATCAATAATCTTTTATTACCCATATTATTTTTTCAAAATGGCACTTCAAAACTTTTGATTTTTTTATAATTCAGGAGAATTTTTTCCCCAAAATAACAATTCAAAAGTTTTGAAAATGGCACAATGTTTTTTCTCTAAACGGCACTAATTATTTTTATAATTCACTACAACTTTTTTGGATTGCAAACTCTTTCTCGAACAATACTCTTGATTATTTTTAGATGATCATATATTATATTTCCCCATAACAGAATACAAAATTTATTGATCATTATCTTTTTTAAATAGATGAAGACAAACATCTAACAAGAGCTAGTGTACTGTTATATTTTTAAAAACACAAATTTGAAGTTTAAAAATAAAAAAATAAAAAAAGTAAGTGTGTCTGAAATAATCTAACCTTTCATTTATCTGCAAAAATAGACATTTTCAAAAAATTGCGTTAAGTGACCATTAATTTTTTAATGACGACTCAAAACTTGCACATGTGTCGACATGTAGGATTATTTCCGATAAGAGTGAAAAAATGGATTGTTTTTGAAAAAAGAGAAAAGAGAAGTTGGATTATTCATCCTTTTTTTAATAAACAAAGCCGGCGGTAGGTCGCAATTTATACCATACAACTAGCTGTTCCCAAAATTGAGTACAGCCGGTAAATCAAGAAGAAAAGGCGTCGATCGGAGGAGAAAAAGATGCCCTAATCGGGTCGGGTCGGAGGAAGGGAGCTGCGTTAGAAGGAGAGCTGCGGAAGCCGAAATAGATCTGAGGCGATGAAGAAGGAGATCGGCGGCAGTTTTGGGCAAAATCGGCCGGGATGAGGAAGGAAGATCTGCGAAATCGATCGGCTAAGAAGGCTCTCCAGATCCGCGATTCCAGATTTCGTAGGCAAAGCTCTAATTCCAAATGTTCTAATTCCAATTTGGTCTTTAGTAAGATTTTGGATTTTTATGAATGGTATGTTATTTAAGAATGAACACTATATTATTTCAGAATGAGTACTACTAGGTTTTAGAATGAGTATTACATTATTCATAAATGAATATTGTACAAATGTGTGCAAATGAGTACTACGTATTTCAAAATGAGTATTATGTTATTTCAGAATGAGTACCACGCTATTTCAAATAAACCGTTATGTTTGTGCGAGAATGAATACTACTTTAATTCAGAATGAGTACTACTGTGCAACCTTTGTACTATATACTTACTCGCGGTAGGCGGATAATTCTTCGTACCGGCCGGCGGCCATAAAATCAACGCTGACGTTAGCGACGACGCCGATTGCGTCAACAAGACGAAAAAAATACTGTAATTAAACAACGAAAAAGGAAGAGACGAAGATGCCGCGAAGGCGGTAGGATCGTCGCGTGAATACGTGATTATCACGCACCGTTATACGGATTCGGAGTTTATAGGTAGCCGGGGACGGCGGAGAGCTGCGCTGCCGATTTATTTATTTGCCAGTCGTAATTACTTCGGAGTTTTTTTTTAACAGAAAGGAAGAATTGATTCGATTCTTCGTTTTGAACGAATCCCTTTCTTTGAATTGAGGTTAATTGTATGAGCACAGGGCTGAGGAGGTGGTCGAAATCGGCGGTTAACATGGCGGAAGAGATTAATTCATCGGTTGCTCCTGCCGCCGCCGGATCAGGAACAAAGAGGAGATGGCTATGGCCGTCCGTTCTCCGATGGATCCCTACTTCCACCGACCACATCATCTCCGCCGAGAAGCGCCTGCTTTCTCTAGTCAAGTAACTATCCCTAAAATCCCCCAAGTTTGAGATTTCCAGATTTTCCCTATAATTTAAACCATTTCCCGTTTCAACGCATCTATTGTTTTGATTTTGGGATCATTAATCCTGACTTGATGATTTTTGGAAATGATGATATAACTGAAGAGCTTATGATTTGTGAAGTTGTGTTTGCTTGCTTTCCATTTTAGGCGTTTTCGGCTTTAACTGGTATCTTATCATTTTTGTGGGAATGGGGTTTTGATCAGGACTCCGTATAAACAAGAGCAAGTTAATATAGGTTCCGGTCCGCCGGGGTCTAAGATTAGATGGTTTAGGTCGACAAGCAGGGAACCAAGGTTCATAAATACAGTTACTTTTGACAGCAAAGAGGGATCTCCAACTCTTGTTATGGTTCATGGATATGGTGCTTCTCAAGGTTTCTTTTTTCGCAATTTTGACTCTCTTGCGAAACACTTCAGAGTCATTGCCATTGATCAGCTTGGGTGAGTCTAATCTTCCTCCCACATTACCCCAGTGCCTCAATGGCTCCCACATTTATGAATATTCACGAAAAATGTGCTTTGTTGTGTCATTTTTATTTGAAAAGAGGATTGTTTTTCATTTCAATTAGTATGAGATTAATTAGTCCCAAACACGCCATCAATCTCTGCTTGGTGCAGGTGGGGCGGATCTAGCAGGCCTGACTTCACATGCAAAAGTACTGAAGGTTAGAGGCATTTTTTATATTGGATCTCACTTACTTTTTGGTGAAACTAGTTACTACTTAATTTTGAATTTTTGTTTGTGAATCATGAATGTATAAGTTTATTAAACTCGGGTATGATTTTTCTTTATTAAACTCAATTACTCTGTAACTTTTTCTATAATTACTTTGGTGATTTTTACATCTCTTCCTTTTGCATTGTTACTTGCAATACAGAAACTGAAGCATGGTTCATTGATTCTTTTGAAGAGTGGCGCAAAGCCAAAAACCTTTCCAATTTTATTTTACTTGGTCATTCATTTGGAGGCTATGTTGCTGCAAAATATGCACTCAAGGTATTGTTTTTTAACTTTTTTTTAACAGCTAATTACTGACTCATTATCATTGCTTCTTTGTACAAAAATAAAAATAACAAACACACGGAAATCCCACGAGTGGGGTCTGGGAGAGTGGTTGTTCACAGACCTTATCCTAGCTAGAAAAGGAAGTGAGGCTGTTTTCAAAAGACTCCTGGCTCAAGCACACAACAACAATCAGTTTTTTTTGTTGTATCAATGTTAATTCTATCAATATTGTAGCACCCTGAGCATGTTCAACACTTGATACTGGTTGGATCTGCTGGGTTCACATCTGAAACAGAACACAAATCGGAGTGGCTTACGAGGTTTAGAGCAACATGGAAAGGAGCTGTTGTGAATCATCTGTGGGAGTCCAATTTTACCCCTCAGAAGATTGTTAGGTATCTGCTGTTCATACTACATTTATCTACTTGTTATTCGTATCTGTGGAGTATTATTTTTTCAATTGACCTTCTCAACCAATGCAGCAAACACACATGGCAGTTTTTTACTCTTTACTCCGTATTTTAGAGTTCCACAATCTTTCTTTCTTTTCTCATCAAACGCTTTGGTTTTGATCTTAATATGCTTTATAATGTTACTGGTGGGATTTATTCATGAAGAGGTTTAGGTCCATGGGGCCCAAATCTAGTTCGCAGATATACTGGTGCTAGGTTTGGTGCATATTCAAGTGGAGGCGGTTTAACTAATGAGGAGTCCAAGCTACTCACAGGTAGCTTTGAATGAGCCTACTATATGTTTTTTGCCCCTTTATAACATCATTTGAATCCTAATTACATGTTCTTTTTTTTAAATCTTTGGAAGATTATGTATACCATACTCTGGCAGCCAAAGCAAGTGGGGAGCTATGCTTAAAATATATATTCTCATTCGGAGCATTTGCTCGGAGTCCTCTTTTGCATAGGTAAGTTTTAGTTTGTTCCTTGAGTAAATGGAGCATCACATATTCACATCATCATTCATTATCCTATTATTCTTTGACATCTTCATAGACAAACAGGCTATTTTGTAAGTGGAAAGAATAAAGCATGAATGAAATTTAAATTTCACTTCAGAAGAAGGATTTTTAAGTAGTTTGGTTGGTTAAAACTTAGGATAAAATGAATTGGTATGATCAAGTAGAAAAGAATGAAGGAAAAAAAATGTGTATTCGATGCAGGGCACCGGAGTGGAGAGTCCCCACAACGTTCATCTATGGCGTTGATGACTGGATGAATTACCAAGGAGCAGTGGAAGCTCGCAAGAACATGAAAGTTCCATGTGAAATCATAAGGGTTCCTCAGGTTAGTCTGTGTTTATATATAGGGTGTGTTTCTCCGTAATGGTGCTTTGTAATGGTGCTTATTAGCTTAATACTGATAAGCAGTTTTTAACTTATAAGCTGCCTATAAGCCAAATATCTTTTCGTAGAAATAAAATGACATAAATGGTAGATAAGCCATTTGAAAATATTCATAAATGGTGACTTGGTGAGGGACAATTTTATGAATAAATTGGTCAAAACGAAGAAATGAAAAATTGGCTAAAAAATAAGTATGTAAGACCTACTTATTTTTTAAATTTAAAAATAGCTTATAAGCACATATAAATATGACATCAAGTTAAGAACTGCTTATAAGCAGTTTTGACCAGCTTATAAACACAAACACACACTCACATAGGCATAGATACTCCCTCGGTCCCAAAACTAAGTTTACCATTATGTCCTTATTGGAAAAGTAAGAAAGCGTGAACTTAATTTCGGGACTTCCAAAGAAGTTCAAGTGTAAATTCCATTTGGGCTCAGAGGCGTAGTTTTTTTACAGCATCGGGTGAGTTTTTTTATGGCGCGTGTTAGTAATTGCAGGGTGGGCATTTCGTGTTTATAGAGAACGCATCCGGGTTCCATTCTGCTGTATGTTATGCTTGTCGTAGATTTCTTTCACCAGACGGGGACAGCCATTCACTCCCAGAAGGCCTAATGTTTGTTTAGTTTTAAGGGATGTATGATTGATGCGTTTGTAATTTATGAGTAAAACTATTCTTAACTTTCATGTATCAGAATGTAAGCTGTAGATATAGTGAGAAATAAAATGGGCACACGCTGTTCTTTTTTTATAAATATATTTATTTTTTTAAACACGAAAAAAGTACGGAGCATAGAGATTGGATACGACATCATTTTGGGATTTTTAATACTCCGTACTCGTAATATTATTTTACTGGGGACATCTGACCGTGTTGCATAAATGTATAAATATGTGCTTCCTGCATCCTTAAATAAAGGGATTTGCTAGGTATACTTCTAGTCCCGCTCAAGGTGGTGTACACCACCTTCTCACAAACACACACAAACACCCACTCACAGACAGTGGGTTGTGAAACATAGACAGTGGGTCTGTAAGAAGATGGTGTACGGAGCACCGGGATAGACCAAAAAGGATAAGTGGACAAGAGCACCGGTACGGAGGGAGTATTTGTTTTCGTTTTTTTATTTGGATGAGTTTTCCTTATCATTTAGCATTTAGTATTTTGGTACACCACTTAGAATCAGATGTTCTAGCTAGCAATTGAGCAATATGATTGACTGACCATCTAACAACTGCTAATGCCAAAGATGAAAATTTTGTCATCAAACTCATACAATCTTGCCAACGTGAAGTATGGAAAATTATGTATATTGTGCTACACGTCTGAAAATCGTTTGGTTGTCCATCTCTAGTGACATAGATAAAGATAATGTAACAACTAAAGGAGTAATATAATTCTCTGACTGCCTAACACTTAATTATATTATTACAATGATCATTAAAAAATACTAAGTATTTAGTTTAGATTAGTTTAGTTTAATATTAAATATTACGGAGTAACTACTAAAAAATGTAAAAGAAATCTAATTTTATTACTTCCAACTCCAACATGATCTTTACAAATAAACGGAACGAGTTTTCATCAAGTACAGTACATATTACTAAAAAAAAGTATTTTAATTATATTATCTTGCAAAATACCTCCTACTTTTGAACGATTATTTCAATTAAAAGTTTGCAGTGTAAATTTTATTGAATTAATAAATGGTTAAAAATACATTAAACTTTATACTACTTTTTTAAAATGATATTTTCTAACTCGGTGTTTACTCAAAGTGGTCCATTTTCAAAATAAAAATACATTAATTATGAAAAAATATTTTAAATTTATAAGATGATAATATAATACTAAAAACAAAAAATATAATTTTATAACTTTGAAAGTAACGTTTTAGATTATTTACAATTATTTAAAAGAATATCATGTTAGCAAAATATTTAATAAATGTTGAAGAAAACACCCTAAATATAAGTATAACATAGAGAAAAAGCTCCTAATTTGGTACTTCTTTTATGTTTTACTACTATTTAGGGTGATTTCTTTAACGATTATTAAACATTTTATTTACATGCTATTTTTATAAATAATAATAAATAATCAAAATATTTATTTTTAAATTTATAAAATTATATTTATAGTTTTAAGTATTATATTATCATCATGTAGAATTTAAAATATTTTTCTATAGTTAATGTATTTTTATTTTGAATATGGACCAATTTGAGAAAATACCGAGTTAGAAAGTATCATTCTGAGAAAGTAGTATAAAGTTTAACGTCGTTTTAACGATTATTAATCGGGAGACTGAACTAAGTAGTACTTTCAATTAATGAATATATCTTGGGAATTAAATAATTTTGAGATGTTCCCGAATTTGCCGGCATACATTGTGAAAAAAAAAATTGATTTTCCGATCCGTGGCCATTATGGATGAACTGAAAATCCACCATCTCCGGTTCTCCGGCGAATCACTACCCTCGCAGAGTAATCGGTCTTCCATCTCTTGTATGGTAAGGAGTATATGCAAATTACGCACCAAAGGCACCAAACTAACAGAGCTCATAAACACCATAGTCATCATCATCATCATCATCTTCTTCTTCTTCAATTCTTTAATTTCTACTGTACTATGAGAACAAAACTGTTGCTTTCTACACATACCCTAAAAATGTCTTGCGAGGTTTCTTAGGTCGAAGGGCAAAGCTGAGTCCAAACATTTCCTTAGGGGCACTACTTGGCTCAATGAGCCCAACTAGTTTTGCAACAAGGGAAGCACTTTCCTGGACATGCTCCATATCTTGAGTGTCCTTCCATAGCAGCTCGCGCAGTTGTCGTCTTCTATGCCGTGTTTTCGCATCTATGCCCCATTTATGGAACAGTGCCTCCCTCTCCCTTCTCCCGCACTTCTTTCGCATCTGCCTGCTTAGCATCTTCCTCTCCTGCTTCAATGCTTTGATGCTGTTGTTGACCATGGGTATTTTAGAGAAAAGAGAAAAAAGAACACTTCCTTCATTCTTCTTAAGGAACCAACTTAATCCACAAGCTCAATCTTGTGGTTGGAGGCCCAAGAAATGTGGTTTATACTCTAACGTGATCCCTTACATGAAGACGCGAGCGTGAGAGATGATTTTGATTTTTTTAGTCGTGTGATTTGAGATAGTGATTTCTCTAGGTCAACACGAGATTGATTATTGATACCATGTTAAGGAACCAATTCGACCACAAGTTCAAGCTTGAGGTTGCTTCAAACTCTAAGAGTGTTTATGCTCATTTGGGAATTTATATGTGAAGAAGAGTAATGCATGAAATGAGAATGTCGTGCATGATATAATTCATAATTGGGATGATGTCGCTCAACTGGATTTTGTTTTTGTTGTGTTTTTTTGTTGGGGTTGATGATAAGGGATGAATGGAAGAAATGGACGAGAGAGAAATACCTTGCGGACCTTGTCAAGACATGACCATCTTTAATGACTTCAACTCCTTGAGACCATCTATTCTTGAGATAATATAGACGTCGAAGCTCCACCTCCATATAAACCATATCTGAAGGGTCTCCTTTAAAGAGAAGGAAGAAATAGGTCCGGTGGACGAGTGGCACATAGCATTCATCCCAAAGCTCGATTATTTCTTTCATCTTCCTCTCAAATTCCATTGCCCTGTTGGGAAGAGTTTGTTGTGAACGGGTTTCTATAGATAGACCCTCACATGCATATTTTACAAATTCCCTGTGTATTTCTTCTGCTTCATATAGCTACAAAGAAAGTGATATATGATGTTAGATTCTCCGAACCAACCGTGACAAAATTCGCGGTATATATATAAACTTGAATGAAGATTACAGGGATCTCACCAATTGGAAAAGTTGCTTTTCAGATTTAGCCTTGCCATCTTTTGTATCATCACAGTGTTTCTTCTCAGGCATAGTTTTAACATCTTCGCTTACTTTTGTAGCGAAACCTGTTTCGATATTTCTAGGAATGCCCATGAGCCCAGTCTTCTCATCACATTCTTGTTGCCTTCCGTTTATGTCCTTTTCAGATTCATTAGGTGTTTTCACAATATTTACCTTTCCAGTTTCATTTGTTGCATCCACGATTCTTGAACTGGACTCGGTTTCGATGCATTTGACTTCCTTCCAGCTATCTTCCAAACTCTGATGGTATTCATGAGTAGCATTCTCCCAGCCCTTACATGGGTCCGGACCGAAATACTTATCAAAATAGATACTGGGAGAGGTGTCATCCGATAAAAAGTGGTCATCAGGGACCTCTGCAAAACTATCAAATGAGTCTGAAAAATGTGATACACCAGACGCAATATCTGACCAAAACGGTTCGATTGTCTCTGAAGCTTCGGATGCCGAATGATATTCTGAACTTGTCTCAGCCTAAGGGGAACGGAAATGTGAATCAAGATGTTGCTCATATGTTAAGTCATGCCACATTTGGGATAAATATAAAAATAAAAAACCAACACATAAAGTTTTGGGCTACTTTCCTGTCAGTTTTATTTAACTTGTTGAGATATATACAGAAAATCAAGAATATATCTCTTAATTCATACCCATGATCTTGAATGTAGCAAATCATAAATCCAAGACTGAGCAATGTCACGCTGCCGCATCAACTCTCTGATTTCAGAGTCCATCTGTTTTAGACATTTTATAGAGAGTGGACACAGTGCAGCATTTTAAGATACGTCCATTCACAACGCCAAAAAAAGGCTAAATGCTGAATCTTAAAAACCACCTTTACCTTTTGAATAAGAGCTTCCTTCTCCTTCATTGCTGGAGTTGTAAAGGCAGCCAAGTTTCTCAGTTGAGTTTCCAGTCTTTCCACTTCACTCTGCAACTGTCTCACCAAAGCCTTTTCGGTCATCACTACATTGACATGGGCGTTTGTAGAGACCTGTTTGGCACAGGTTGCAAACATGAGTGTGTTTCTTGACTGCTCAGCCTGACTGCGAGCAGGGCTCATGGTGCATATGATTGCGGTTCTTGCATTCCCTCCTAGTGAGTTTTGCAATATACGGGTTAGCTTGGAGTCTCTATATGGGATGTGTCCATTTCTTCCTTTACTGATCAAAGCCAAAATCATATGTTAAAACAGCAACAACTAATGCAAGGAGGAGTCTATGGCCCTGTTCTTTTTCAAGCTTTTATTTGAGACTTCGAGTTATGCATACTCCTCACTCTAGTTACCATTTATCAAACACCAGACTCTGGACACAACTCTAGTTAAATTTAAGGCAAAAAGAACAGGGCCTATATCAATTAATAGGATGAATGATACTAACCTTAGTTTACGAATACAAGTTCCTAGGGCAAGCAAACTCCGGTTTATGTGGCAGCCCTCTTTGGTTCTAGCATTGGCTGATAATGTTTGAGAAGCACGCTCACTTCCTGCAAGATCAACAAAATCCTGCATTTGCGGCAGAGAATAGGTTTTTTTCTTTTTTTCTTTTACTTCTTTTCCATTCCTTTTACATTCAATAAAAGAAGCTAAAGTATCCATTTGGTAACACAATTTTTCAGCTCATTCGTAAGATTTTCTATCAACCAGTAGCCTTTTTAGACTTATTTTTAAAGATCATATAAAACCATGAAGATAGGGATTTGCTTTCATACCGCTGAAGCTGATAAAATGCTATCTTTCTGAGAACGAGAGATTTGGGTAGCACAACTTTCAACAGTCTGAAAAAGAAATAAAGAAGTTTTACTAGTATTACTACTAAAATCAGAATTGCAAACATGAATCTTTTATTTTAGGGATGAAACCAAGGAAGTTTGTGTTTATAATGAAAAATTCTATCAAAGTGAAAAAGAGGGCGTACCAGCCGCAGGATCTGGTGAGACCTTGAGCTCGTTTCATTCATAGAGGTTTCTCCTATTCGTCTCTGTGCTGCAACAATGCATAACTAGTTGATAAATTGATGTAATGTATGGATGAAAGTTTATTTTTTGGTTTGACTTGATATAATACTTCGTAATATATAACTAACTTTGTACGGATGAATGTTAAACAGTTATGCTTTAACTATATATGCAAGGGTGATGTTTGGGGGTCCCTCGTCCTCGGTGCAGTGGGCCCAACCCATGAATGAGACATGTCACACGATGTTGAAAGAGCTCTCTTACCTTCACAGATGGACAAAAGTTCCTTTACATGTACCAAATCTCTCACTATCACCTCTGTAAGTCTCTCAACAACTGTTCCTTTCTGCAGATAGAAATGTCATACGAAACTTAATGCTTTGTGAAATCAATCTCCAAACTTCCATGACTCAAAATATTAACCTCTGGATCATCTAGAAGCCTTAGTGGCGTACTGTCCGAGCTGAGGAGGTCCCTGACTGACTCATTATAGATCTCCATAGCAGAAAACTTGAGTTTATATTGCCTTTCTTTGTGCTACATGTTCAAGAAAAACAAGTAGAATTTAAAAGGAAAAAATTTAATCATGTGTCACATTCCTTTGCATATTCCAGGATAAAACCAATCAAAGGAATATAATATCTCTCGCCAGTCGCCATTTTTTCTATTCTCATTGGCTTTTTAGTAATTTGTGGGGAAAAAATGAGTTGGACAAGGTGGTAAAACTCCGAGCACCTTTTTTACGTAGTTAAAGATATCAGCCATGGCGAACTCAGTAATCCCAGACATGGTATGTGTCTTTCCACTGCTTGTCTGGCCATAGGCAAAGACGCTTGCTGGAGAATAATTTACACAGGAAATTAAGGCCTCGTTTGGTATACGCATGATATGACACTAGAATCAAGGAGTCAGGGAAGAGATATATCCATACAGTTAATTCCAGTTAGGACTGTGAGAGCTACCCTTTTAGCAGCTTCTTCATAAACTTGCATTGTGGAGCAATCCCACCCAAATACCCTGTCTATACCTTGAAGCATCAACCAATTTGCAGGATATGATGACATTAAGGTTCAGTTTTTTTTTTTTTCGGGAAATTATTTTTCTTGTGTTTCGAATAGGAAAACATCTGTTTGGAAAGGTTTTCGTGTTTTTGCATGAAAAATATGGAGGACCTCTGGTTCTATCAACCCTTTTAAAACCAATCGGTGTTACAAAATGCGCATAGCCTAGCATTACTCTCCATTTGAACACACACATGACAAGCAATACATTCTTATTAAAGAAATATTTTCTGTGATTCTTTGAATGTGTTATCATTTTTCCAAAAGCAGTTCTTTATCTTCTATTTTTGTGGGTCAAGCCATTTTTCTGCAACCAAACAGAACCTAGGAATACATGGAACATAAAACAGCATTCTTATATTTATTGTCTTACCAAATTGATATGCAGTGGGAAGCAAAGAACGTTCGCCGAGATTGTTGTTGTTGTTGTTATATAAGATGGTGTTGTTGTTGATGCATTCCCAATGTGAGACATCATTCAGGGAGAGTTCTCTCTGGTTCAGAGGCCTCAACCTTATGGCAACAAAGATCTTATCTTCATGTGCATTTGATGAACCCATTTCTTCATTCCATTGATAATTGTTTGATTCTTCCCCATACAATGAACCCATTTCTTCTTGGCCCTTCCTATTTCATGTGCCACAAAGCAGATGTTCTTGATCAAGGATAGATTATCAATTCTCTGCTCTTTTTTTTTTCCGTTCTATCTTTTGAAATCAAATTTCTGCAGATGAACAAAGAGAGGAACAATCATGGGATTTTCAAAATTACTGGTAAACCTCTCTTCTTTTTACTCCGTATTATATTGTTATCTGCAAACCCCCAATTGAAATTTATAGAATAGGTTTAAATAGTACGTAAATTCTTTTTTTCTTTATTCTTTATGAAAGTGTTGTTTTGTTTTTAACTTTTCCTACCGAACAAGGCAATGCAAAACCAGAAATACTTCTCTGGTTTTCATTTTATTTGGCATTCACAGTGATTCAAACCAATAAATTTTGGCTAAAGTTAATTTTTATCTTACAACAAAAAGACTTACAACACTCGTCTGGGTACTTAGGGTGCATAAAATTTACAACACTCGTGTCGGGTAACCACTTTAGGTTTGCGGCGTTTGCCCTTTCCTCTAACCAGTTTTCCATTTGATCTACTCTTCTTATTGGATGCTCTAAGGGTATTTTCTGTACATGTTCAAACCACCTGACCTGATGCGTACTTTCACTATCTTGTCTTTTAAGAAGGATACTTCTATGCATTTGAGAGGTCTAAAGAAGACTTTTACCCACTTTTTGAGTCCTTTTGAGCTTCCCTATTGTAAAAAATTTTAGGAGTGAGCAAAAAAATCAAACTAGCATGGTACCATACTGGACTGTAATGGTACTGAACCGTTTATGGTGTTTTCAAACGGGATTGATTTTTTTCATCACGAACCAAAACCAAACCGATATTAAATGGGACGGGACCGTGATACAAATATTTAAAACCGATTATCATGATCCTTACACTCCAAAGCTATATACGGATTACGTATCTCAAATAATTATGGCATCTTACGTATATAGATGTTTCATATTTTATATTCATTTTTAAATTCTTTCATTGTTATTGTTGTTATTATATTTATTACTACAATTGGCATTATTTTTTATAGTTATTAATAGTCCGATATTATATGAATTGAAAAAAACTATTTTTAAAATTTGGAGTCGTTATCTTTTATTCTTTATGTTTGTGATCCGTTTAAATTCAAAACCAATACTTCTATTTGACAATGTCGTGCTGTTTTTATACAAATTTAGATGAGTCAAACTTCATTCATTTTTTTTCTCTATTTTTGTTAGCCATTTCATAAAAATAATATGATTATAGCATTTCTTATTTCAAATAATTTTTTTGCCAAATTTTCTTTAGGCTATACTAAGTGTCCTCCGGGCAAAAAACAATATCTTAAAAAAAAGAGATTTTCTTTTTGTCACTCAAAGAAGCTTGGAAGGCCCCTATATACCAACTGGGAAGACTCCGAACTTCACTCCATTGGGCTGACAAGGTTTTATAGACTTGATATGTCTATGATGTTTTTATTATTTTCTCAAAGTTAATAAAGTTATGTGTTATTGTACGAGTATGTGGTTTGCCCAATCATTTTTGAAAATATTTGACAGTCTTGTACAATTTTTAAATTCTTAGGCTTTATTGCTCTAATATATATATTATTCAAGAAGAATTTTTCATTATCAAGTATATATTAAATACAGAGTACATAATATAATTAACATTTAAATTAATAAAACTTTATAAATTACAATATCATTAAAATTATTTAAAAAATTAAAATTGACGAACATATATAACATGCATGGACTTGAGGTAAGTACAGTTAGGCCTCAATTCCTTGTCTAATTGAATGATAAATAGAATGAGTTGCGTTGCTTCATTTATTATGCTTCAAAGTTTATACAATTCTTAGTAGAAAAGAAATTATATCTCACAATTTTTAGCCTTTCAAAAAAAGTTGCCACAATGATTAAGATATTTTTTGAATTTTTTAAGGTTGTAGAATAACATAAGAATAATCTATAAAATGGTCCCTCTTGAAATTTGGACCTGTTGAACACCCCTATGGCCCCCTGCTTGTATATAATTGGGATCAACAGATGTATGATTTTTACTATTGAAATTATCATTTTTTATTATTGGTACATAAAAAGTCTCTTTAAAAAAACTTGGCACTTATGAGCAAAATTGTATCGTCCTAATTCCTATAATTTACTAACTGTTCTGAATAGATTATTTCAATTATGATTAGTCAATAACATAAGGTTAAATAGGAGTTGGGAAATATCAAACAAATATGAAAAACTGACGCATTTATTTTACAATTTATTTTTTTATATTCTTCATGAGCACAAAATAGCTTTCAAGCACTGTATCACGTTCTTCCTTCAGTCTCAGTTCCATCACCTACAAACTGTTCAAAAGTATTCAAGAAAAAAATGTTCATGAACCATCACATTCATGTTCATTACTTTCCGTAAATTCCAAAAATGATTGGCGATAATTATTAAGGTGTGTTAAGACTTAGGGCCGTGATTAAAACGTTAAAATACCGCTTAAAACATTGCCATGTTTTATGGCGTATCTTAGATTAAAAGTGTTTTATATTTGTAGTTCCCTTCTAATAAACTATAATTGCAAACAGTTCATCATTTAATCTAAACTTTTCCAAAATAATTCCATATAATCTTTAATTAACCCATGTCGCTTAATACCGTTTAGCGAAAATTTGAAGATTTAATTTGTAAAAAGTCTTGGCCATAATTTGAAGTGTTCCAACTTTTTCCACTTAAAAATTTCGTCTTTGAAATTAACTTCCGTTCTCTTAGCTCAATCCAACATTTAAAAGTTGCGGGTTATACATTTTCCTCCATCTAAAATCTAAATGTTGGATTGATAATTGTTATTGTATGTGAATTCCAATTGTTATTGCATGCAAATTTCTCCCAGTTCCCTCCGAAATAAATAACGCAAACACTCATCATATGATTTCGAAGTCAATGGGTAGGAAACACTTCAGCACAGCACAATTAGAGCTTCAATCAAAAGAGACCATTCCTTCATCTTCGAAGGAGAACCAAGCCCCAACTCAATTCACCAATGCAAACCAAATACTCAATTGCAATCTAACATATCTAAACTCATGCCTGCCCAACAAGTCAACAGCATTTCTTAATCTCAAACAATACCTGATTTTTAGCCAAACATGCCTTAATTTGCATCAATACTCTAATGGCTCATTTGGAAGGTAATTCCAAACTACGTCGTCTAAAATCATGGGTTTTATGTATGATTTGAAGTTGGTGATTTAGAGTCATAGTGATGGTTTGAAAAACTTGTTTGGATGGGTGTAATTCTGTTTTTGAACAAAAAAAAAAACTACTTGAAAAAAAGAAAAAACTTCGCCTCCTGTGGTGATCCCAAAAACTGTAGTTTTGTAGAAGTAAAATGACCAATCATGACTTGAAATTGGCCCCAAACAACCAGATTCCAAATCTTGACTTGAAATCAGTCTGGTTAGTGAATACCAGAACGTTAACCAAACAAAACAGGGCCATTTTTTTATTTTTATCAGTACAAAAAGTGCTCCTGAACCCAGTACAAACCCTATTCCTAATCTGCTTTTGCTGACTAGGACAGCAAAGTGCCACATCAGCCTCCCATATAAGTTACAAGGTATTCTTAACTTGTGTTTTTCACATTGTTAAGAACTCATTAAGGGTTGATAGAATCCTGGTTTGTATGGAAATGAGCTGTTTCCAATAAGTATGCATGCAAGAATCGTTGTTGAGTCATCCACCGTGCATGAAACCCCCCCTTAAACGCTCTACCTTACGTCAAGAACAATTCCTTTGTCTAAACTACCCACATCACCTATAAATCAACAACTCACATCATATCATTTGTTGATTCTAACTCCAAAACATTAATCAACAGATTATCCGCAACTGGTTCTATGCCCTAGGTTTTCGTCATGCCAGATTTCAAGAGTTGGGCACTAAGAAACAACACATTATGGGTGAAGACTTTGGTTATAGTGACAATGACAGGGTTGGCTGTTGTAGAAACAGCCAAACGGCAAACTCTGTCATTGCCGCCATCGCAAAACAACAAGCAAAGAGAAGAGCAAGATAGAGAATTACCGTTGAGGCAAATGGAAGAAGACTACTACGGGGCATGGGATCCTGCACCGTACTTCGGTGGCAGCTATCCAGCTCCCATTCCTCATTGGAAGAAGAAGAAGGTCCATTGTTGTGCCCAAACCACTGCCAAGTCAGACGAAGACTCTACAGCACACTGAACTTGATGTTATCATACAGCAAAGTGTTTTCAATTAAAGTGTTCTATTTCTCCACAGACGTCAATTTTTTTACAAATTGAACCAAGCTTATGCCTTCTTTAGTCTCTCGTATATGTATTATCACTCAGTTTGGAATTCAACATTTACCGGATTCATTTTGGTCCTTTGACTAAGAAATGTGGAGTGAATTTAGTCGTCAATCCATTTTTGGTTTTAGACCCCATCCTGAACTCAACTTGGACCCAATTTAGTCCTGAACGTAAGAAAATATGTTCTTAAATATAGGAAAATATGCATGAGAGCCAAATTAGGTCTAAATTCATAGTCGATGACCAAATTGAGTAGTGTGTAAGGTCGAGGGACCAAATCAGGTATAGACTCAATTTGAACATTTTGCAATTTGTTGCCATATGCAAATGCAATCCAGGAAACTATATATGCATGAAATTGGTACAATATAAATTAAAAGAGCAGAACAAAGTGCTACTGTTCTAGAGATGAAACTATTGAATAAGTATTAGTCACGTGTCTGAAGAGATAGGTAGATCACCTTTTCACGACCGTACATACTGATAACATAAGGATATCATTGGAGCAATCTAATGTATAATAATAGTACACTGTATGTGTGTATGCAATAAAGGATGCAATATATAAGATTGAACGAAAACCATATTCAAGATGCCATTAATGAAGCCAACCAAAATTGAGCTCTCTGTGCAGAAGAGCTGCTGTGGTACAAAAGTTGAGCAGCAGGGAGAGTTCGATCCACATGCCAATCAAAATTTTTCCTGAAATCTTATTACCTGCATTAGGGAAAAATAAAAAATGGAAAATAGACCCAATCAGCTGCTCTAATGATGTCAGAAAGGACTTCATTTCTCATCTAAACAAGCCAACAAGTAATATAAAGAGCTATGCTTCTGGATAGTAGGAAAAGGCTTTTCAGAAACTTTTAAAGCTCACATTCAGTATCCATGTTGGTTGCTCAGTAAGATGGAGCATATGTCATGAACAATAAAATTAAAATCATATTTAAGAACCAAGAAAGCTTTGAAACAAAAATAATCTAAGTTGTTTACTTCCACCCATGAACCAAGAAAACTAAGCATGAAGTCATAAACAGAGTCGTTGGCAGCCTAATGCATAAGACCTAGTAAGAATTAGTAAAGACTAACTAAGGAATTGAATATAAAACAGCAAAATCAGTGTTAATGATTCTGGATACAAACAGTTCTTCCGTATGGCACCACTATAGAGTATAATGCTCTACTTTCATAGACTTCGTATGGATTCACAGATTTCCTATGGATCAATGGATCATGGTGGATCACACACAATCTGCCAAACAATTCTGTAATGAGGTGCCATGACCGCCATTTAATAGCTTTAAGCATAGCGACTTAAGGAAAACACCTTGCCTGAAGAGTAATTATTGTGGTAAATACTTAACTACTCACATGAGACGTCTCCCAGATGGACCAGTGAAAGCAGCAACTTTCTGAGCACGATGTGCTTCAGATTTGTATAGCTCTTTCATGTCCTTTTTTGCACGGCGGGCTTCACGCTTTTCTTCCTTGACAGCAGCCTTTTAAAAAAATTGAACACAAGCATCAATATAAGTTTTCCCTTTAATGTAGAAGAGATGGGGAGGGTAGATGAGAAGATGGATCTCTTAAAACTAACTAAAGGCTACATTTGATCTTAAGCACCAACGCGATTATATTCTTCCAAACATAAACGTATGCATATCTAGTCTTTCTCATGGAGGAGGCCAGAAGGGTAGATGAGGGGATGGGTCTACTGAATCAATTTGAAGGCTATATTTGATCTTAAGCACCAATGATGAGATTATTCTTAATAACTCAATTCTGCATATTTCTTCTTCCTCTTTTTATTCATCCCTTGTCCTAGCTTGTATTTTGTAAATGCTCTCTTTTGTAATTTTATCTATGCATTACTTCGGTCATCATGTACAATTGTGTGAAAAATATAAAGCCCCATCTTATCACAGCTCTTAAAAAGAAAGCAAAACATTCTTTATCAAAAATCAGGCAAGCTAAAATTGATAAATTAGAATGTGTAAATGATTGTATTGAAAGTAAAATACGAACAAATTACAATGAAAATACACCTACCTTCCTTTCCTTTTTTTCTTCTTTTGACTCCTGACCATGTTGCTTCCTTTTGTATTGTTCGCCTTTAGTCTTATCACTTTCCTCTTCTTTCTCATGCTTTTTCCTCCCATTTTTCCCTGACGCATCCTTACCCCTATTAGGCAAGAAGTCCACTGGAAGCATCTCCTTTCCTTTCAGCGAAATAATGGGTGCAGAAGCATTTGAGACTTCAGAAATTGTAGTCAACTTCTTTTTTCTCTGTGCACCTGGAACTTCAATTTTCCCAGGATGATTGTCCAGATTGGAATATGTAGAAACTACTGTCTCACAGTCCCATATTTCAGATTCACTGCTGCTTTCCTCAAAAAGAACTGCCTCTTCATCTTCACTCTCATTTTCATACTTCTCAACATATTCCCTGCACCGGTTAATAACATCAGGAGCAGATTCAAGAGGCTCCTCATCATCTGTTATCCTTTTATTATGAAGGACCATTTGATTTTGATTAACTTCCGACTCATTTAATGAGTAGAGCTTAAAGGTGTGACCGAGCTTCTCTGCAAGAGAAGCCTGACAATCATTTTCATCATCCATATAATTAATGCAATCATCTTCCCCTTCCGATCCATATTCTTCAAGTTCAAGCTGTAAAGAGAAACTGCAAATCAGGCACTTTCAAGTTTCAAGTCGACCTTTGATAATCAAAAGCGATCACGGAATAACATAATGGATTACAGCAATCATTTTATTTTATAGTAAACTGGTTGGTAAAAAGATGCTCACCATGTCAAACTGCTCATCTATTGCACGGCGGACTCTTGGCTTTTCTTCAAATCTGACATCACCCTTCTCTCTGACTTCAGTAGCCTTGTCTACTTCTTCATCAAGAACTTCTGGCAAATTTGCCTTAAGCACAAAATCCTCATCTAAATCTTCAACATCAGATCCAAAGTGCGAACAATCACTGTCATCTAGAATTGCAGCAACCTCGGGATCCAATGCTTTTTGAACACTAACACCCACAGTCTTAGTAGCCACACTATATACCGTGTCAATGGAATCGTCATAATCATCGCAGACTTTTGAAACATTTAATCTTGAAGCATCATAAGCCTATATGGAGCCACACAAAAAATTCAAAGCTCAGCAAATTAACACCTTCACATATTTGATAAGTTTAAACATGCAGATTACCATACTAGTATCACTTGCAATCGTATTACATGAAACTATCTTTTCATTTCATACACATACGCATTTGCATCAATGGCGTGATAATAGAATAATGGACCTTGATATCATGTTGAATCGGGCTGAACTGAGCTTTTGGATTTTGATAATAATTCGAACCCCCGCCAGTGTTTTTAATTTCTCTCAAGTGGGTCAAGTAGTTGTAGCCATCATCCGGAAACCCTAATTCCAATATCTCCTTCCTTATGTGATCAGGCAACGGCTTCTTCTGAGCTTGGTTACCCGGAATCCGGAAGGGGAAGTCGTCTCCTTCGCAATCATAATCACCTGGAGCGTCATCGAAGATTCCACCATGGTCATTATCCGGCGCTCCGCCGTCAGTCTCTCCGGCGTCACCGAAACCGTCGACGGAATAGGGATTATTGTCGAGCCTATAAAAAGTTCTGTCGCCGGCAGGCCCGGATTGGTAATTCGGATCCGAGGAGTCTCGAGCGAGCAACTGGAACGTTGCCGACTTTTTCTTGTCGATGAATTTCTTCGTCTTTCCCATTTAAGAAGGAGTGATTGTATAGCAAATCAAATCAAAAGTTGGGAGAAAGATGAGCAGTAGGATTGCTGAGGTCTCAGCTAGGGAGTGTGGCTGAACCCTAAACATGGAGGCGCCAGATTTCTTAAACCTGAAAGAAAAAAAAAAGGAAAAATTCCTCACACGGAAAATAAACATTTCAAAGTATAGAATTTGAATTGAGAATAACATTTTCATATTGTTATTTGTTAATATAAAAATATGTGGATTTAAACTTGGCAGTGCCAAAAATAAATTCGAATTGGAAAATACCATTCCATAGAATTTCAATTTTCAATTCAGTTCCGATTCTGTTAATTTCTTATACCAATCAGACTTGCTGTTTTTCCATAACTTATATTTATATACATGCTTTTTTATTAATTACTCCCTCGGTCCCAATTTATATTGTCTGTTTCGGTTTACGATGTTTGATTGAAATTATTTTCAAATCATTTTATTTGAAAATGGTGTAGAATTAAAAAATAAAAATTATATATTAAAATACTACATCAAAAAATGTACAAAACTAGTGGTGACATAACTATTTCATTTTATCGTCTTTTATTTCTCTTTTATCGTCTTTAATATCTTGCTAAAAGAATGACAACCAGTTGCAATCAATGATTTAACGGCCCCCATTATTTAAATGCCACACTTCAATTTGAATTTATTTTGCTAAAAACTTTCTTGAGGTTAACAATTTAACATACAAAAAGTATTAATAATATCTGTACAATATTTATAGGGAGCTTATACCTAGATGCTTATTTAAAAAAAAAAATTGCTCGATCAAGGCACCGAATGTACTTGCGCCATCATCATCTTCAAAGAAAATATTTTTTTCATGGCAATACCATGAAACTCCCATAATATAAAAGGGGTTTAATGTCCAATCGTGAAACTCTTGAAAAAAAGATGAATTAAAAAATACTTGATACTGGAAAACTAAGTACAAAAAACTAACTAGACTGACTTAGCAGATAGATAAAGAATACAGAAACAAAAACATCAATTGGAGCAGAGAATGTGATAGCATTATAAGGAGGCAATTAAACCGATCGAACAAGCTGAAATTGCCATAACAGAAAATCAATTAATCCGAAAGCACCGTGAATTGAAGAGCCACAAATATCCACAAACCTCTTAGTTCACACCAACATGTAAATCTCCTTGCGCTTCAAAACCCCGATCCCACTTTCGTTTGCGCGTATTAATGAATCATTAAATTGTAACCCATTTTTTGTCATCATATCAAATTTTCAACATATTTGTTACCAATGCCATTGACAATTACCTTGCATTCCATTACGAGTTTCAAACAAGATACTCCATATTATCATTTTACAGAGTAAAAAAAGAGGGATACAAAAAAAAAGATAAACCACATCCTCGGGATCCCGAGACAGAAAATGGATACAAAAAAAAAAGAAAAGGGAAGCAACCCACTTTTGCCAGGGTGCAAGAAGTGGGGAAAAAAGGTTACAAACACTTTTTTTAACGTTTATGATCTTTTTTTGGGGACAGTTGACCATATATGCCCTAATCTGTACAAGTTCTTGGTCTCTTAAAGGTGGGTGCCCAATCACCCATGCATCACACTACTTTCTGATGATAAGGGGCTCAAGCTGTCAAAACCAGTCTCCCACAATGAAAATGCATCATCATCATCTTCACCAATCTATACTTGTGCACAAAAAACCAAAAGAATGCATTATATTAGTTGGTGCTATTAGAAATCATATTTTATTTCTATTTTGGTTAGGATTCTTCAAGTAATCTCTATACCTGAGAGAAACCAAAACCAGGATCAAGAAGTTCCTCAAAATGGTAGCCAGGAAGCATCTCCAGGTACTCAAACATGGGGCTGCTGCCACCACACATCATCAAACCATCATCATCCCCTTCTTCTGCAATCGCAGCCATCATCATTTGCTCCTTCTTCCCACTCCCGATGGCGCGAGGAGGAGGAGGAGGAGGAAGAACACCAATATGCTTGTTACTGGGCTTCGAGTTCCGTGACGAATTGGTCAGATTTGCAGCAGCAGAGGAAGAGGAAGAAGAAGAAGAAGAAAAGGAAGAGAGGGTTGGAGAGAGCTTGACCCCAGTAAGAAGAAACCTGCTGTGTTTCTTGGTCCTCTCGTTATTGGGTCTGTGAATGTCCCCATCGCACTCTCTGCACAGGATTGCCCTGTCTTGCTCGCAGAAAAACAGAGCATTCTTCCCCTGCTGGCAGATATCGCAGAGGGGAGGCTTGGAGTGACTGGGGGAAGGGTGGAGGAGGGAGAAGCGTTGATGGGTTCTGGAGAGCTTGTTGGCACTGTGGACTCTTTGATCACAGTGGGAACAGAGGGCGGCTTCATCTGCCACGCAGTAGAAACATGCTTCCCTTTCCCCGCATGCCTCGCACTGGATCTTCATCTTATATGTTTATAATAATCACATTCTTCGATCACCTTTACTCAGCTCCGTCGTCTATGTATATATGTATTTTAAAAGAGGTAGAGATAATAATAATAATAATAATGGAGTTGATGGAGTGGATTGAGATGTCCATATCTCTGAATGTATGCGATATTATAATGGAGGCCGGTGTGGCAGTACGTACTTCATTTATTCTCCTCCCAACCCTTTGTGTTTCTTTTTTCTTTTTCAGACAACAGATGATGCTTGGACCAGTCCTCAATGTCCACAAGGAGCCCCTTCATTTTTTGAAAGATTGCACCACAGTGTCGCTGGTGAGATCGACTCAATTCTACTTCTAAGACGAGTTGAGCTGCCCGTGCGGGCTTTGTGTTTGTTTTCTAGGTATATAATAGTGAGTAGTACTCTATCCATTCAAAATTCAAGATTTTATTATCATATCATAGGTCATTTTTTGACTCGTTTCATTGATTATGATGTGTACTATTCTAAAATCATGATAACTTTTGTTTATTAAGACATTTTCATGATATATTTGATAAAATAAAGTATCCTTGTCATCCTTTGTTTTGTTAAATTTTTGTTGTAGTTTTTAAATACGCAAGCTTTATGTTTTATTTCAATACCATTATTTAAATAAAATAAATTGAATAATCTTAATTGAAACTCTTCTTCAATTTGCGCAATTTATAATCTATGTATTAGAAACGAATGAAGTAATTATTTTTGTTAATTACTCAATTGTTAAGTTTACTGTAGTACTCGAGTACTCCACCTCATTCACTCCAAATTAACAACCTACCCGTGTTATTACATAGTAGCACACTGATTGTAGTCATCTTGTCACTCACTTAACTTAGATATCACTCAATCTCCACTCTATTCATTACACAAAAATTATTTTTATCTAATATATAGTCCCTCTGTTCATGTTGGATCTTTCCATTACGCATTACAAGTTTGACTTGACCAATTATTTTTACCCCCTTTTTTTATTTGATGATCATATGAACTCACTCTGCTTGCCCCACAGATGACAATCACAAGAGATTTTATACATAGACAGACGATAATCATCTGTATTCATAGACGATGATTATCGTATGTGTATGTATAAATAATATGTACGTGATTGTCACCAGCGGGGACACATCCGTGGTGGATTCCTAGTACTCCCTCCGTTCCTAAATGGATTAAAGAAAACCCCTCAAATAGAAGTAAAACATATATTATATCTTTAAAATAGGAGCATAAATTTAAACTACTCTAAATAGGAGTAACTAATTAAGCAGTAGTGGTGGAGCTACATCGGAGCAAGTGACTGCAATTGCAGTCACTCACCTTTCTATGTTAGTGTATATATATACGAGTATATACTCAGTGCCAATATATTTCACCGCATGAGAACCAAACGCCCAACTCTTTACCTCTGCCTTTGGCAATTGCACTGCTGGGATTTGGGATGCTAAAGAATTGAAGCTGGTTCTTTTCTTTATTTCTTTTTCTTATGTGTTGACATGTGATAAAAAATTAAATTTAATAGCTAAATTCAATGAATTGATACTGCAAAATTATGCTTTAGAGTTGGGGATGTGTATAAATTTATTGTTTTGCACCAAATTAAGTTTTAAAAAAAGTGTATATAATTTTTAAGTCTTTTTTTTATTAAAAAGGAACATTTAACCATTATCAATGGCCACCACCGTATATATACGAAATGATGCCGAAGATTGATTTTTTTTGCTATTATAAAAAGGTAAAGCGAAGCATCGGGAAGGATTAATCGGTCTATCAGAAAAACTTTCGTTGCATGCTTTTATTGAGTTGTACAAGATTGTTACATTTCAAGTATCTACCTATACAGTGTCATTGGATTTGGTTTGACATTATGCTATTGTGTAACATTGTAACATTATATATAGGCATCTATGGTATTATATAATGTCATATGTGACATTACATGGTGTCATGTTTGACATTATAATGTCTTTCTTTGACACTGTATTAACTATTAATTTGGCACCACTGTGGCGGGATTGTGATGTCAGTGTTGTTGATAATGGTATATAGCACTGATATCATTGAATTGATGGTGACGAAAAATCAAAGGCGTCAATAGTAGGTTTCATTTGTAGCGGTACGGCGGAGCAGAGGACGGAGGTGGTGGAGATTCAAGTGATAGTGGCAGGTATGTGGCGGTGACGATGGCGGCGATGGGCATCATCATCGACGACGATTGCGGCAGTGGGCGTCGCTGTCAGTAGCATGCTGTTGTGAAATTGGCCGAATTTTTTAGTTTTGAATTTGGCCACCACTGGTATTGGCCGCAAGTGCAGTGCGTGTGGGGAACATTTTTTGTTTTATAAATTAAGTTAAAATCTTTATTTTTACTTTTTATAGAAAATAAAAAAATGAAAAACTCAAAAACATTGCAAAAAAAAAAAGTAAAAAAGTCGCATGCAGTGATCAATGCTCCTGACTTTTAATTCGCATGCATCTTTAAAACAAATGTGCCTGTGGGAGTATTTTTTTGTTTTATTAATTAGTCTACTCCTATTTGGAGGAGTTTAAGTTTAAACTCCTATTTTAAGAATAAGAAATCACCCTACGCAGCACTCTAACTCACCCTAAACTACGCATCTAGCACTACTTATTCTTTTTAACAAATTTAGCACTTTTTGTGTCAATCCTTTACTATCATGCCCTTTAACCTTTTTCCTTTTTCTCATTAAAAAATTACGCCATTCTCCTGCCTACCTAGCCGCACATCGTCTGTACTCTCGCGCACGTACTCTTCATCGGCGCAAGTTCTACTTTAGTCGCCCCCAATCATGCATCCTCAGGCCATCTCCCACGATTCCTGCTATGATCAGCAGCGTCAATCATCAGGTTATCTCGAACTCCTTCATCGATGTGGCTAATCATTTTCTCTTCTCCTTCAATTTTTAATTTTCATTCCTTCATCCCTTTATTCGGATTTCCATGTATTTTTAGTTTAATTATTGTGTTTTTTTCGTACTAAAGATTAGGTGTTGTGAAATCAACTTTGAAATAGCTAGTATTTGTCCCTTTTGAAAAATTATGTCTTTTGAAAGACATTGTGATTTTGGCAGTGTGTTTTTGGCACTGTCAAGATTAAGTGTTATGGTGTAGGCAGTGTGAAGATTAAATGCCTAAATGTTGCCCTGCATTTTCGTTACATTATTTTTTTTTTCAAAACAAAAAAAACGGTACACACAAAAAAAGGTTTGCTGCTCACACTGCCCAAATTTAGCAGTGTATTTGAACCCCAAGTTCTGGCAGTGTACCAAATATTATGCTTAAAATTAGGCAGTGCAGTGTGATCAGCATATACTTTGGTTTCTAAGAAATGGTTTTCTGAACTTTTGGTAATAGTACGCATCTTGTTGATGGTTACAAACCATTGCTTAGAAAATTGTTCTTACCACTTGTATTAAGTACTTATCGTATTGATTTTTAAAGTGAAGATGTGAAATAAGAAACACGTATACTGTTCTCTTATATGGTATTTATAGTTTTAATTAATACATTAAGCAAAACTTTGTAGTATCATCACAACCTTCTCAACCTTCTACTTGACTGCTATTCACACTGCCCAAATTTGGCAGTGTGTTTGAATTACACAAGCTGTGGTAGTGTACCAGAAGCTTTAGTTTAAATTAGGCAATGCAGTGTGATAAGCAGATACATTGGTTTCTAAGCAATGGTTTTGTGAACTTTTGGTATCACTAAGCTTCTTGATGATGCTTAGAAACCATTGCTTCGAAATTTGTTCTTACCACTTGTATTAACTAGTTATCCTATTGCATATTCACCTGAAGATGTAAAATAAGAAACATGTTTTTTGTTCTCTTATATGGTATTTAGAATTTTAATTAACAGATTAAGCTAAACTTTGTACTATCATCACTTTTGGGACAAGCACCTAACCCTTTTTAATCATTCCGGTTGCCTTCATTTTCTGTTTTATAGGTTTGACTCAATCCATACTTGCCCGGTTGATTTTCGAGAAGGCGATCACAGACAGGCAACATCATCATTTGTAGCTGATATTGTCCTTCATCGTTATGTGGACGCTACCAAGAAACCATACCCTCCTAATGACTTGCGTGAGGACATGAGACGGGAATATGGCGTTTCAATGTCATATAGGAAAGCTTTACTAGTCAAACAGAAGAGGAGACTTCCATCAGTCGGTGAATTTCAAATAGGTCATATGCGTAGAAAGCAAAGATGCACACGGTGTTTGAATTTGGGGCATAACGTAAAAGCATGCAAAAACCCAATACCAAATTGACACTGCACTCTTTCATATACCGTATAATATACAATTCTCAACACTTTCCTTCATCCATTTTTGACTTTGTTCAGACACATTCTTTGTTTTTTCACTCTTTTAATAGTTGTACTCCTTATACTATAATTTGATTTTTTTATTAATATATAATACTTTGTCTACTTGCACCATTGACTTACAAAAAGTGAATATGGTATAAGTTGCATTCTTTTAATTCTTATTAAATTCCTTGTGAAATGTGGAAGTGTATTACGGCAGTGCATTTTTGGCAGTGTATATATTGTGCTAGTGTAGATATATCGTGGCAGTGTATATATTGTGGAGGTGTATTTTAGACAATGAGTTATTGACATTGTGTATATTTTGTGGCGGTGTACATATTTTTACAGTGTATTTTACACATTGAATTTTTGGAAGTACATAATCTGGCATTGTAGAGATTACATATTCCAGTGTATAATTACCGTAAAAATTAATCCCACGAAATAAAATAAATTCTGCTCTTTTTTTCAGAAGACTCGTAGGTGTTAGGTCACTAAATTCAATCTCAAACATATTGTGGCAGTGAAGAGCATAGAATTTCATACTTATTTATAATGTGGCAGTGAAGAGTGTGCATACATTGCAGTGTATATTCAACTTAACCAAACAAAGTGTGCAGTTACTGCCTAAACAATTTTGGAAGTGTGGAATGGTCATGGCAGTGTGACTTAAA